TCTCCTCCGTGACACCCTCCCCTCGGGCGCCCAACTCGTCGTTTCCCCTTTGAATTCCACGCGACAGCCTGGCCTGGCGCGTGATGTCCCCAGTCAACCTTCTCAGTTTATGCCCAATCCATCTCCACTTTCTTCTGCATATTGTTGTATAGTAGATTCTTGGTTGGTTCGTTGCTAGAGTTCCTTGTTGCCTATTCTTTCTGGCCATCTGGTCTGATCTTCAGCATCGAGCCAGTGTACGCAGCTGTTGATGAATGTATATCTTCAGTTTGTTGGAAGCGTTTTTCGTGATGCTCCAACTCTCTGAACCATATAGCAGCACTGACTTGACATTAGTGTTAAAAATCCGGATCTTGTTCCACATGCTGAGTGCAGTAGATCTCCACACTGATTTCAGATTAATGAAAGATTGTCTTGCTTTTCCGATCCTGGCTTTGACATCTTTGTCTGTGCCACCTGTAGCTGAAACGATTCTGTCTTGCCTGGGTAGGTGAAAGAGACTACTTCCTTTACGTCCCTCCCGTTCATGGTGATTGTGCCTCTTGTTGTTCACGCTGTTGTTGGTTGGATATCTTCATCACCTCTGTCTTCTCTACATTCACTTGAAGTCCTGTCTTCTCTGCCCTGCTTCTTCTGTCAACTTGTTAGTTTTCACCTGTAGATCAAGTTTATGCCATAAGACAGACATGAATCATCGTCGGCGAAATCCAAATCTTCTAGGCTCTTTTCATCGTCCAGCTAGCGTATTCCCCTCTTCTCGCTCCCCACGGTCCGCTGCATGATCCAGTCAACCACAATCGGGAAGATCATGGATGATAGTAACTGGCAACCTTGTCCTACTCCTGTTTTCACTTCAAAGGCATCACTGAGCTTCCCATTGTGAATCACTTGGCATGTAGCATCATACAGCATATAGCTGTTGAACGAGGTTGAAAAAGGTTTGTGGCATTAAAAGCGTAGTGTTGAAGCAGCTGCCTGAAAAATTACTTCTCAGTCAACGCTATCAAAGGCCTTTTCAAAATCAATCAAGCTGAAGTAAAGATCCAATTGACTGCCATTTTATGCTCTATTCTATGATGATGCGTAGCGTAGCGTTGCAATTTGATCCGCACATGATTTGTTCTTCCTGAAAACAGCCAGCCTGTTCCGGTCGTAATTTTGAATCCAGAGCATCTTGATTCCCTCCATGACGATGCAGCACAATGACTGTTCTGAATACATTCACAAAAAACCTATAAATCAGCATGGGAAAACGTTTCAAAACTCTCCTGAAACATGAGTATTCTTACTTTATGCAATTAAGTGCAGTTGACTTTTCAATCTACGACTCTCACACTTCGATAGCAAAAGACACTGCGAGAGGTATTATAATGGTATGCGTAGAAGTTACGTAATCATACACAAGTATATCAAGGCACAAACTAGCCAAAGATTATATTAGCTGTTGTAAAACATCGAATAGAAGAGATAAACAGGACAAAGATAGATTCTTATGGGTAGTAGAGAGAACTCAAGTCTAATTGATATACATCAGAGTGATCTTTCTTAGTATAGTTGAGACTGGAATAGCAATGAAACCTATACTGACTTAGAATCCAGTGATACAGTCGTAACGATCTACTTAATTCTTTCGAATAAAATATTTTAGCTTGTATGATTTTATGAAGTGACCCCGAGGTCAACCATATGATAGAAACAGTTCACTTTTCAAATCCAAAACTTTGCAGTAAACAACCTAGTGGGAATTAGGCCAGATTAATTTGGAATTAGTATTGGTAAGCTGTGACTGATTGATATACGGAGTTTACTTTCAACCGACGAGTTTAAAGTCCGAATCCCACTCCACCTTCGGAGGTCTAAGCAACCACGTTTCATTCATCACAACTGACACTCGTTGCACAAGAGGTGGCTATTGTGTCACAGTGCGTAAAGCTTTTGAAGTGAAGGGCACTGAGTTCGATCCTCGGTGGAACAACATAACACACTGGGGTGTAGGTACGTCCGGCTATCGAGTCCCAAATAGGATGGAATGCGCAACCTAAATTCCTCTGCTAGCCTCTAAGATCAATATAACAGGTTTCATATCGTTCTAGTTGATTCGTTAGACGCATCATAGTTGAAAAGCATTACTTACTGAATTACTATAAAAGCCATGTCTCGAAGTTGTAGTTATTTTGATACATATGACTCGGGACGAAAAATTGTCCTTAACGTAATCCCGTAAATAATACTGCTCCACCGTGTGATACATCTAACAAATCAGTCGAAATGGAATTACATTTTCTTATACTAATCAGGTTTCACCATTAGTCGTCTAATGACAGGCGGGCCGTTTTCCCAAATGTAATTAGATCTCCCCATTACCCTCAGACCCAAAAAAACTGAATATGTTCTCAATTTCGTATCCCATGGAAAGGCAAGTGGATTGATTACCCCTCTCCCTACAATAGTTTCTGTCCTGTCAGCTACAGGACTAGTTTAGTCAGGAGGTTCTTCACTAGAATAATAACCCTACGCTCAAAAGACAAATACGAAGAATTCGCCACCATTGAGAAGACTTACAGAGAATGGATACCCGAATTCATCTTGAAGCATGAAAAATAATTTATTGAGACCCAAACACCCAACTTTTGAGAAGGAACCTGTTTCCCTTAGTCTATCATTCGAGAGTGATGAGATATCTGAAAGAACAGACAGAAAAATAAATTTGCACTGAGGAGCTCCCCTGCTCCCAGACTGATCTCAGTTTGCAATACAGAATGCTAAATAGCACAGCCTAAAGCAGACAAATATCCAGCACGTCACCTCCAACTGTGTATATCAATCTATCTTTGTTTGTGTAAGCAAGTATGTAGTAAGGGCATCTACTCAACTTTATGAACATATTCCAAAAAATCTGCGCCTGGAAGATAGCGAAGTCGAAACCGCGAAATAGCAAAAGTGGAATCGCCAGGCACCTGATGGAAACATGACATCAAATAGATGCTTTTCAATCTTTCAGCACAATCAACAAGCGAAGAACGCCATGTTTGTTATGGTTTGCGGAAGCTCTCCCTATCAAACATTTTCAACCTAACCTGCGAACTTAGAGACTTACATTCATTGGTCATTGGAGGGTAATCGACTTCGCATTGTCTAGTGCTATGTGCTGACCGAATTCTATCAATCATTTAGCAATGTGGAAACCAGACTTGGCAGCTCAGTATGATCAATCGATGTATCTGATCCAGTCCTACAGGATCTGTCGTCAACCGAGCAGTTAAGTGGTAACATCGCCGACCACATCACTGGGTGATGCGGATTCGGACTCCAGGCTGGACGTCAGTTCCGCCGGGACTGCAGACGCGTCGTGATAACAAGTGCCAACAAGCATGGGACCTGGGCCCAGGCTCCCTGCCGGTAGCCTCCATCCAACTAACACTTCGAGACTGAGGTTAGCTTTCAACCCGGTAACGGTGTGTGGTTTATTGAGTATGGTGAGTGATTCTCCTTTTTCGATTCCATCATCTCTTCATCAACCACCTACTGACCACTAACCCATCAGCCTGCCCGCTTTCCGTGTAATTACGCAGCCTACCATCTAGCAACCTCATCTTTCGCACTCGTGCCTTTTCGTTGCCCCCCCCCCCCCACTTTCTCCACAGCTTCAGAATTTTCTATCTCATCAGACATAAATTGCCGTTGGTTTTGGCTAAGTTTTGTGATTATTAACCTTGCATTTCCTCGACTCATTAACTTGCTGTTAATTTTGGATTTCCAATCTCTATGTATTTCAACATACTATCAATATTTCATTTCAATTGTAGGCTCCTTGCATCTGGTGAAAGACTGAAACAAAATGAGCTCATCTTATCCTACAAGTGTCTTAGTTCTTGTGTTATTCATACTCTTATTTCATTTCAGATAGCCTTAGGAGCATGGTGGGCAATTCAATCATCATGTCACCTGAGGTTTATCATTTACAGGAAAGATACTGATTTGTACTAACCCCAAATGAAATCTTAATGATGGTACAAATTGGTACGTTGACTTAAAATGAGGAGTTCATCGTTTCCAACGGAAATCCCGGGTGCACCAAGATACCAAAAAGAAATGCCTCATTTAACGAGACGAACCATTACTATGTGTGATCCCGACCCCAAGGGTGCACTCAGTCAGGTTGTTGAAAATACTTTTGGTAATGAACTTCCTATTGTGAAATAATGTTAGATTGACAATGAATCTAAAAACGCACCACTAACCGTTGAATAACTAACACGATTTTTGTTAGCGCTTTTTCTCTGGATACTATAATTTTCAATCTGTAGTAATATATCAACTGTACAAATGCAGACTAACAGTATTCTGGCAGCCAGTGTGAAATATCTTTGAAGAAATTTATTCTGCACACACTCCTTAAGTGCAGAAATAACGATTACCCAAGGAAGCGGGATAGCAACCAAATAGGGGTTAAATCCAGTCAACGATAGCTACGAGATGTATCATCAATTGACACAAATAGGAGAAGCAACTATTTAAATGATTGTCAGATAAGAAAATTTAAATTATTTGAACCCAAGTAGTGTACTGACAGACAGATTCGGAAGTTTGTACAATAGTAATAACAATGATGATGATAGTAATAAATAATATATGCAATCGCACTAAAGAACAAAAGAGAACAGTTCTTCTCTACATCCGAGTATGCAAAAAGAACATATACGACAACCCTGTTTTTACAGTTCGCATTTTCGTTAAAAAAAATAGGGATAAATAAATTAATCTCGTACAGCTTTGGGGTCTGGTGAGAATGATCCACGTGAAACGACTGAAATAGTCAATTATTACTTCTTATTTTCCATCAAGCCGATGGCATTTGTTAAACTACTCCCAGTGAAATGTACAAAGTTACGGTCAGCCAGCTCGTTCAGATGTTGGAAGAGGAGTGTGAGGTGAGTTCGTAAATGCATGTTTGTTTCCACTGCCATTTGATCGCCAGAAGTTACCACTAGATGCATTACCCCTCTTCGCTGTCCATAACCAAATGACCGTTGATTATAACTCATTCGTCTTGGGTATTGTTGTGGGATAGCACCAAAAGTGGCTGAGTTGAGGAGTCTTTCATCTCGCCTATTCATCCCCTGAGGATTTACACTGAAAATGAAAATAACATCGTTGAAAATCAGTCAAAGTAGACGTGAAACCTCCCACACAAGTGCACCAATTAGAGTCGCCACGCTTCACAGAAGCATGCAAAAAAGTGGGCAGAAAACGAGCAATATCAAAGTAGACAAAAATGAAGTTCAAGCATACGTGAGAAACTCTGCAAAAACACCGGTGATCAAAATCCTGTAACCCCCTAATATCTCTACTTTCGATGGCCATGTCTCACAGCTGTATAATAAACAAAATGGATAAAGATTGTCGTAAATCAGACAAACGAATAACAATATCTAAATATGTAGTAAAATAACAAGTGGAAACTACTTCGCTATCGTCTTTATGTTCAACGACTCATACCAAAACTATTAATAAACGAATCGAGTGTGGAAACCTTAACCCGAGAAAAAAAAGTACATAAAAGCTGTTCCGTCGAAATTGGTAACAAAATGATACATAAAAACGAATTGAGCCTGAAACTCTAAAAACAAATTCCAGGTTAATACCAAAATACCCCGACAGGTTTCAACACCAACTGTAGGCACCATAAAAATAATCTTGCCGTAGAAAAATGCATCAAAGTGGAAAAAAGCATGTTGATGTGCTGGTGAGCACAAAATAACATTGAAACAATTAAGCCAAATGCAATCTCGTTTTCCAGATACAAATGACAAATTCCAGCAATTTACCAACCAAGATGTTCCCTAACATACAGTTAGTTATCGGAGTGCTCCTGAAAAATCCATTACATGGGACGTAATACTGCACGTAACTTAGTAGCCGAACCAGTGGGATGATACAACGGCAGTTAAGTACATTATCAAAGTGAAGGAGCACTGATATGTGCAGTTGTCAGTAGACATCAACCCAGAGTCAGACATACCAAACAATGAACCAATTACCTGTCCAGCACAACAAGACGAAAGGTAACTAGATGATAGACATTGATGCGGAAAGGAGTAACCGGAAGCCAGTGATGATTAGGAAGAAAAGGATTGAGATGAAGACTGTGAAATTGATTCTAAGCAATATCACCCAGTCTCCAAACATTAAATTCAGTTGTCACGTCAATTTTTACCTGGAAGTTGACACCTTTCATTATATCTAAGACCAACAGTCAGACTTCAAGAACTTATGCTATTTTTTTTTGTGTGGTTATCTTTGATCATTTCAAACCTAACCCTAGTTCAGGTAACACCGTAAGGGTGATGATTTTCCCTGTGATGCATTTCTTACACGCGAGTAGACAACGGTTTACAACTCCATATTATATTTGTTTATTTGACATAGCACACAGTGATACAGTACTACTTACTTGATGACGGATCCGATAGATTCAATTACCCAAAACAATCTGATTTACTAAATTTGATGCAATGATTGTGAGGTCGAGTACACACGTCAAACTAGCCGATTGGGGTCAATTAGACTATCAAAACATAGGAATCTAGCCAAATGCAGAATGACACCTCGATACGATCAATAATCTAGAAAATTCGGCTATTGCAATGGATGCATCAACATACAACTACACAATAGAGTGGGATTAAACCCCCAATACATTTAGGTGGAGAAAGATTAATTATTGAATCGACACCGAAAAATCTGGTCAGCAGTTGGACCTCGTGGCTCAGTTGTTAGGGTATCGAGCCGGAAACCCGGTGGTCACTTGGTTTAAATCCGGCCACTGTTCAAATTCTCATTTCACCCTCAATCATCACCCAGTATTTGTGCCATAAGAATGACGCAGCATTTATACCAGGGATATGGAAAATTCTACTACCAATAAAAAACAAAGAATGCGGTGATGGGACTGTGAAAATCGAGAATTGTGATCATGAGCGGCAATTTACACTGGAAACGTCATCCAGTAAGTAACACTATCACTACATCAAATAGACAAATCAAATATGGAACTTCATCCTACCAAAGTGTTTTACACATATTAACGACGCTTTAAAACCCTATTAACTGACTTACCTTTCATGCCTAAACGTCATGCTAGTAACAATGTAATTTGACGAAAAGATTAATCACACAACGGCAACCGTAGGCGAACACATATAATGTCTAATCATGGCCATTTTTCGTAATGTAAAGGAAACGATTCGCAGCACATTTGGATCCTTAGTAGTATACTGAGTATTTTGGGGACAGCCTATCGGCCCTTTTTCACCTATGAAGAGATCCCTTCGGTTACTGATATGTCAGAGCTAATTCATCTCCTCAAGTGAGCGAAGTGGTCAACGGGCGCAACCGCTTTACCCTCCATTTCTAGATAAGACATCAATTTAGCTTAGTTCTAAAGAAATAGTCTGCATTTCAGTGGGAATAAAAAGCATCCTAAACATTCCAAAACTGTCACTTTCTTCTCTTCACTCAAAACGATCATGCTGCCCATGTAGTTCACGTCTGCCAAAAAGTTTCATGCGGTAAAGTAAATACCGGCAAAGTTGGACGAGCAGAGCGAGAACTTAATGAGCATACACGTGGGAAAATAAAAATGGAGGGGATATCCTTGAAAAACACTACTCAAAGTACATAACTCACCATAAGCTTTAACTAGCACAGGGGTTTTAGAAAACAGGGCCTTCAACAATGATATACTAGGACTCCGCTGAGATACCACTGTACGATTTCTTGATCGGTGGACTAGTAGTAAAAGTTCCCAAATTCAGCCAGTGTCTCAGGATCCGGACGATATACTCATGACCAGATTTAAAACCTCCAGGTCTGATTTTCTGTTTTTGAGCTTCACTGAGGCTTCTAATGGTTACGGAACCTAGACACTTCTCAGACTAATTTCCCTGTGGTTGTAAAAGGATTTCTCGTCCTATAAAGACTGACAAAAACCGTGACTGCGACCAGATACATCCACATCTAATTCCTGTACATCAGCTAACACTTAGGTCTGTCTATCTAGCAATGATATTCGATCACTCAAATACCTTGTTTAAATGCCTAATTTGATATATATATATACTACTTACTATTTTCTAGTAGCTTAAATTTCTAGTGAATAAATTCTTGACCGCAGGATGTGAATACCATACAGCTGAAGATGGCACAATTTCAGTCTGGCTTAAAGAAGCCCATATCTCATGGTTTTCCTAACAGTATTGCACTCCATAATACAGATTATCTTGCAATGTAAGTGTCAGTCACGGCTAGGTAGTAGGCCGCAAGCGTGACAGTTAAGCTGCAGGTATCCACTGTTGTTTATTCAAATGGTAACCATCAGTGCGTAATTTACTTTCAAGCAACTCTCTTTGTTCCAGTGACGTCGATCACATAACTTTACAAATTAGGTAAGATTTATAGTGGATACCAGTGCAATACCTTCTAGTAGTGTGGCATGTAAACGCCTGTTACATACTGTTATAATTCTTATGTAAACATACTCGTAAATGGACGAAAGCGTGTTACTGATCGAAGTACACTTTTTCGTCGACGTAGGAATGTGAATGATGATAGTGTGAAGGATATATTGCGTTTGACGTAGGGCATAATTCCCGAAGGGTTCATGAGAACTTTAACTTGAGGCAACCTTCACAGGTTTCCCAAATACGTTAGAAAATAGCAGTTAAAAATTAATGTGGATCGCAGTATGCCTTCACATTTCTTATCCTAACATCCATTTAAGGTGTTTCCAAAGAGGTTAGAGCTGAGTACACCCTCCATAGCATTGCAATTGATGAATGGCAGATGCAGATGAAGGTCAACCGTGAAGGTACACTGTATCTGCTAGATAGGTGCATCTGATGGAACGGAATGACGAAAATGCAATGCGCGACGACCTTTTCCGTGCAGCTACTGATTTATGTCTGATGCAAGACATATTGCTTAGAGCCCGGAAAAGAATTTCATAAATTGTACATTAACTTGTGCCAGGAGTCCCATCAGGTCCTTGAACAATTTGAACCCAGCACCTAAAAGCTGCTTGAGAGCGAATTGGATCCCGTTAACACCTCTAATATTGGTTTGAAAAGAAGCTAAGTATGCTAATACGGCAATACGAAGGGATAGAAACTTGTGAGGCTATCGAGCTGCAACTAAATATTGATGCAGTCACCGTTTCATGATTCTTCTCAGGAACTGTGGTCTGTTCTAGATAGAATTTCTTAAGTGACAACAAATGTCTTAATTAGTGTTTACGGTGGCTTCATCAAACTAGATACCTTGATGAGATCATTACGGAGTCATCGGGTATTTTGAAGAACGGCGGCCCAGTAGCTGATGTAAACCGTCTTGTTCCCGTGAAGTTAACAGCTGTGGTATTCGACACCTCGACCTGTTCATCAGTTAAAATGATATTCGGCCATACATAGAAAGATGTGCCGTGTGAAGCTGAATGTCACCGGGAAGGTTTCCATATGGCTTTTCCCGTGAAAGAGCAAAAATGTCGATCAGACCTATTGTTTCGTATGGGAGAATAAACTCCACCACAAAGCTCATTCACATTTTTAGAGACTAGACAGAGACACGCTTTCATCTTGATTGAATACATCTCAGATGTCTTGGTGCTGTCAAGAAGTCAACAAGTTTTTGGAAGTAGTTGTCGGCAGATCGAAAGTAAGGTATGTTTCCTATACCTTAACTTCATGGAATTGTCAGTGCCCATATACATCCTGTCATCCTAAGTACTGTTTACAGTTCTCAGATGTCGCTGCTCAGCAACTAAGGCACTTTGTTAACAATCACTGATGCATTTACGGAACCAAGCAGGTGGTGTACAACGTGCATCCAGTTATACATTTGCCTGCGTATGTCAAACATGGCTGCCTTGAATTCATCAAGCTGATAAGAGTGACTGCTCGGTTTTGCGAATAGGAGACCCTGTAAAAGAACAGGTGTATACCCTTTCTGGTTGGTACAGCTGACGTTTGTAAACGAGTATGCACAAAGAGAGGGATTCGCATCTCCGCCACGTCTTCTGATAAAGCGTTTACTTCTCAAGGTAAACCAGCTGCTATAACCAGCACTAGGAAGGACGGGATGCTGATCTTAAACCCAAAGGCCGTACTCCAGACGCCACTTGACTCATGTGTCATCTCCGTATACGAAGCTTCACAACTGTCACCTAATAAGGATACTATTGCGGTTGACAGGACTGATTTCATGTGTCCGTATTGCAATCCCAAACTCCTATGTATCATACATAAAATGAGATTGTATAATGATGACCTTCGTTATCGTATGGTTCCAAAGACATAAGGTAGTAGTGCCATTGCATTTAACATTTGTTCATGCTTATATAGATAACTTTTGCATTGTTTGTACATTAACGAAATGTATTGTGTTCTGGTGATTTCAATTTTTTCATTTAACGTCATAACCTTAAAGTAATCACATCTCCTTTTCAGATGGACGGTAACAAGCTTTTAATGGTGTACTTGAAGGGTAAGCAGTTCGCTGTTGTGAACTCAAACTGGCTGTCGTATGTTCAATGAAGGTGAATTGTGCTGGAAATCGACTTTGTAAGTAATTAGTAAACTGTAAACGCACTTTTCGTACAGCCTTTTCTCAGAAAACTGTTTTCAAAAGCAGACGGAAAAGCTATAGTAAGTTCGGATAACGCCTACAAAATATCTAAAGGAGATGCAAACCATCATCCGTTTGTCAAGGTAGCAACAATGATCAACGTCTGAAGTTGGAGGAAGGTATCAAGCATAAAAGCATCGAAGTGACTCTTCAAAATTGTCATTAGCATATACGATTATTATTTCTAAGGAGCAATTACAAATTTCCGACTTACGCAACCGCAACGCGCAAGCAGTTTTGATGGAAACTAGTCTATGAAAGATTGGTTTCACAACCTAAGAGACCAGGAAGGTGAGAATGTGATTGTGTACTAAGGTAGTGTCCACTAATTTTCACAGCTACACTCACTTTCAGAGAGGGGAAAAGAAAGACAATCAATAGCGGCAGGTAGCGATATCCGATGTCGTTGGAGGAAGCAATTCGGAAGTAAAGACTGACTCGTAATAAAAGTATGATCAAAGAACATGCGATTTTTTTCCTTAGTTATTTTGCATACAGAGCTTAGAGCAATTGGAGTAGTTATCAATTACAAAGGGACCTTCTGCAGTCATGAATACTACGGCAGTTTGTTGAATAAGTGGGGGGAAATGAAAAAGCACAAGCCTGAATGAAATAAAACGCAGAACAAATCTAAAAAGGTCGGGGTGAATCGCATTGCACAGTCACGCCATTTGCCCCGAGTTTCCATTGCAATTTATATCCATAAATAAAACTTACCCATTTGCACGGTCCATCATCTCTGAGCTGATTGTATCGAAAAACGACTTCGATTTATCATAGCATGCATTTTCATCACCAGTTGCGCTGCTACCATCGTTCTCCGTGTTGTCGACAGAAGCATTGGATGAACCTGCCTTCTAAAAACAGAAATCATAGTCAGAAGTCGTACCTACTGAGCTTATGCATATCTTTTCCAACTCTGCAGCAAGTTCTGCATTAGCCCTTTCATAGTCATATTCACCTGAGAAGTTTGTGGTCTCTCCTACTGTTGCAGGTACACCAGTCCGAAATTTGGACCACTCATGACCACCCCCTAAACGCCCACTCCAGCCATTATAACTGTGGCTAGTTCCCCTAGAACACGATGGTTTGACCACTGTTGAGTATAACCTACAGGTCTGTTCCTTGAGTAATCATGAACCTGGTTATAATTTGATGAATTTCTATACATATCCACTTTTCTAATCCCATGATCATGGTTAACCCATGAGTGCGAATATTCGTGACCGGACCCTATGATAGAACGTCTTCCTGCACCAGTTCCTGACTCTGGTAAACCTTGCCCAGCCACATTTGTTCTTCCGAAAGCACTAAATATGCCAGGATCTATGTCGCTGCGTCCATCTCCAAATGGCCTAGGCCCACGACCATCGGAAGTCTGAGGGTGGTCAGAGTGTACTGTCCCTGGACGAGAACCGACAGAGGGCACCTGGGAGGATGAAGAAGTCAAACAGTTGTTCTGAGTCAAACTATCAAGTGAGACGGATTGTGTTGCAGCTGTGGGAGTAACTTCAGAGCATATTGTTGGAATGCGGCCGGGGTTGGGATCTAACCACCTCAGCATGAGATAACAGAAGACTTACCTGCACGACCCCGGCCTTCATGTGGTGGCATACCCGGAGGATGAGACAAGGCAGACTAAATACACAAACATCAGTAAGTAACGAAGGACTAACACCAGGTGCAGCACTAACGATCGCTGAGTCCTCATTTAAAAACACTGAGGACTGCACAACACGTACATCATCAAGGTCCCGACCCCGAAAAACTACTTGATTGTACTCTTCGTTCCTCGGGGCTACCGGCCTTTCACACTGGCGGTCTTCAGTGCCGAAAGACCAAACTAAGATTAGTAGACAAGTATGGTATTCATCTTACCTTTCGAAAGTGTAATGACTGGTTCGTTAGGTGTGTCAAAATCTATGGAATGCAGGTTTCCCTCATATCTTATTTTAGCCTTAGATATAATGCTCACACGACATCCTATAATCGAGAAGTCCGGGGCGTTCATCTTACAAATGGAGGTAGAATTGTCCCCTGCGCCTTGTAACATTAGCGATATAAACAAATTCTACTTCGAAACACAAACTTCTCGATTAGACCTTTTGCCGTATAACTCAACATCAATTTTCGAAAATGTAAGGTAAATGTAACCACTTTTGAACCTATTGGCTTTCGCTATTACGAAGCAGAATAGGTGAAATGTGAAAGAAACTCATTTCTCCCTAAACTGATTCTAGTACCACTTTGATGCGACTTTTCACTAGGCGTAGGGCAGCTTTTCACAAATCCATCTAGAGCTTCAAGCCATAACTTTCCCTTCCTAACTTCAAAAGGACATTGGTTCAGACTCATATTGGCTTGCTCCCTTCATAGCAGCCCCACTGACTACCACATTTAGACTGTCCTCATTACTACTATCAGCGGAGTTACATGCTACCCCAGTTTAACCTCAACCTCTGCCACTGCAACTGCCTGCTATTGATCGACCCTTTCATCTTATTCAGCGATACTTCAGAATACGTTCGGACAAGTGGCTACTCTCCACGGTTGTCTCATCGGCAGAGCTTTACTAACGGTTAAACCACTAGGTTTACACTCTCAGGCAGTACTGTCTTTGGACTCTCAGCAGCCCTCTAGACAAGAGTATGCCCCTATGATAATAATTCCCTTGATGGATGGCTTAGGGCTGACGAGATTTAATACTTATGCTGACCTTCACACTTTTGACGGACTTCGAACTTCGAACTTTGTGCTGTAGAATTGGTGAACGACGGTTCCTTGGGTTCTACGTCTGTTTTATCAGGGTACGTTCTGAGTTTGGAATGATCACAACCCCTTTCCTGGTCCCGAAAAGCCTAAAAGGGCAGAGATAATCGATTATTAATTAGTCTGGCCTCGCCGTGGTACTGTTGCTCCTGACCTGTAGATGACGAAAGCTCCTTGAATACAGCACATCGGTACCATAGAACTCAAGATATGCATTTAACCTCTGTTTGAAAGTATCAGGTAATGGGGCTGTAATGACTGCTGAAGGGAGTTCCACAGGTAGGACAGGTGTAAAGAGCAGAGCCGCCTTCTGGCCCCTCCGATCTATCCCTCAGGACTAGGTTGAGCTGCCCTACACGAACTTCCCCATCTTTTAGGTCCTCCGTGAGCCATGCTTCACAGAAAGCCATTATTCCAAGACTAACAACCTTGGCCCTGATATCTTGTAGCGCGGGACATGCACACTGCTATAGGTACAATGAAAGAGAATATGAGAACCGGGAGTTCGGGAAGTAGATTGAGTTAAGAATGTGTTACCAGCCTTTAAGAGGCCGGCTATGTCAAGTCTTTTGGCTGAAGAAAAATGACCCACCATCCACGATACTTGGTACCTTGTCGTGTTTTTTCCCTTCGCTTGTAAGCGATATTGTAGCCTTGTAGTCGGAAAGTACCGGCATTTCGGCGTTGTCTACCGAATACACTCATCCCACCTGGCAACCCTCCTATGTTCTTTCCTGTCACAGCACACATGGATTTTCTATAAATACGGGTAATTAGTGATCAGCCACCATGTCTGTCAAGTCCTCATAAGCATAATTCCGAAGTCTTGATAGAAAGCCTCTTGAAAGTATGATAGTCTTTCCTTTGGCATTTTCTTGGAGGTCCAGCTGGCTCTACGCAAGCCAGCAAAGGAGTCTACTCAAGCCACTTTTGTAGGCCCGGACATATAAGTATCATTCTAAACTTATCTTTCTGGCCAGAATTTTATCGTGGTATATTTCTTGTGTTGTGGTTTGCCATGTGCTTCAGCGCATTTCGCAGCTTCTTTTCCCGATTGAAATAAAATTGCAGCTCCCTCCAGCAAGTACTACACCCACTTGGGTGTTCGGTAATTTTGTCGTCACATTTTGCCTTTCGCGCAAAGTTTGTTCCACTTCTACTGAGTGGCTTCAGTTGAAAAGCCACCCCCTTACTGGCTGGTAATAAAGTCTCCTTGGCTTAACCAGCTCCTATGACTCTAGGTCTTAATGATCTTATTCGCTGAACCCAAAGCAATGTACAAGGTCTTTGCCACAATGTACCTGAGATGAAGCCACTGATTGGAAAGGATTGCCCAAGCATAGTGGCTTTCGGTGAAACATGGCGCACAGATTACATAACATCAATCAGAGAGCGGCGTTGCCTCTTACATCTGCCCTTCATTGGAGGCCCAGGGGATTTCCCGCCCCTGAAGAACTGGCGGAAATAAATGTCCTTGGTGTAGCACCAACTGCACCGACTGTCCGGTGGTAGTTTAAAATTGTACCCCATGGGCCTCAACAACACTTAACATCACATCAGAGAAACCCTGGATTTGAACTTTCCTGGCCTCTTCATTATCGTCGATTTCAACTTTCTCCAGCAGAGCCGGAGAATTTCGTAAATCAATATTGGCGAACTGCTTGACTGGATATGTCTTTCACAACGCTTGCTGGGTATCTGGTGCCAGGGCTTCGTGACTAGATCATGTTCTAAGCACCCAGTCCACTACAGAACCCACCGTGTCGAATCGGAGCCCCTGATGAGAAGAGGAGTACCGCACGAGCTTCTTCCAACACTTTTATATCAAGTCACCTCGGATCAAACGCCAGTAAACAATTACACGAAAACCGACTATGAAAAGCTTTAACCGGAGCTATAAATTTACACTTGGCTAAATTTCGATAATTCACCTGATCTGGAAGCCAGACTAGAATTGAAGAAATGCATGTGAAGTTGGAGAAAGAACTGGGGAATTGTCGTCATACTTTAATCTGTATAGTTGCTCAGTTGCATTGATGGTTTCCCTTTTCCGGTTTTCTTATGCAAATCTACTTTCCTCCATTTTCTGCTCTTATTCAGCCTTTCATAATCAGCTTCCCTAACATCACCTACTTTCCTGTTTGTTTCCCATTTTACCCCTTCACCTTCCTCTGTTGTCAGGCTAGGTGTTCAGGAACACAATTCTCCATGCCTCTGTTGAGAATGCTTCTTCGGTTTCTCCACGAAGAGGTGGACAGACTCAGTTCACCCGACCTAAGTCAAACATTCGTAAGTTCATACAGTGTGAACGGTCAGAAACAAACCAATGGAGATTTCTGATAGTACAAACTACAGAAAGAAGAGAGGGGCATCTGCAGTGGATGAACTATGAAAAGTAGAAAAGATAGGGTAAATCACCAGGTACATCTGTGAAGAACACTGAAGGGGAATCATGTGAGATTTTACTGAATAATGGAAGGGGAGGGTGACGGTCCAATTGTCACACTGGATTATATTTGTCCGGTGATCCACCAAACCACCTCACACTAACTGGCTTTTGTGCTTTGAAAGAACTGTCCACTTGCCGACCCACCTGTCCCATCCCACTTTGTTAACACATTCCTAAGGAAGAATATTGTCCGAAATTCATCAAGGAAGATATTTTCAAATGTCTTAAATCACCGGACTCTTCACACAGTTTAGATCCATATGGTGTGTTGGTCTTCGTAATTACGGAGTGTGCTGATATCTTATGCTATCCACTAGCTAGCATTTTTAGTAGACTGTTTTCAGAATACACAGTGCCTGCATGCGTGAAATGATATTAAAACAGTGCCTGTACTTGGGTCAGGAATTTCAGGGTCACGACCGAAATTCTAGCCAACTGCAGTTGTCTCTCGGTCCTTGGAAATAACGGGAGGCTAACAGTACCTATGCTTGAATCCCCACTGATAGTCTTTTGAGACCCTAGCAAATTCACACGTGAAAGCAGAAGTACTGTGAATGCCATCACTCTTCAACATCAAAATATTCCTTATCATCTTGATAAAAAATCTCAAGTATGCCAGGTGTGCATCTTTAAGCTATGCTTCAGCACCTGATTCTGTCCCAAAGCCTCCTACGTTGGACAAAGTGGGTGAAACTTCTACCGAGTCCTGGACAGTCGGCTGGCTGTATCCCTATTTTTCTGAGAGGAAAAAAGTATGTTGTCCACTGAGGAGGTGCTCCACCTCATTGTTTAGTGCGACTAGTGTTCCCCGAGGAGCAGCCCTTTCACCCGGTCCTTCGCCTTTCTGCATGACTTACCATCTCCAGCTGGCATTAGTTTTATTACAAACGCCAATGGCCTGAAAGATTTCACACCTGTCTCCTCTTCAACGGATCCTTCCCGACTGAAAGATTTCTCGTACACTGCTGTACGGTGGCTCTCCGAGCTTAATTCTTTAAAAGGTCAGACTAGAAACTTTGGTTTCAGACATAGCCTCTGTAAACCGCACATTTCTCATAGTTCCTGTTTTCTCGTTCCACCGCGCAATGTTAAAGGTGTGACTCATCTCGGTGTTTGTTTTTCTTCGAAACCTTCCTGGTCCCCCCTCATCACACAAATCCCCCAAAAAATTGTCTGGCTGGCTCTCTATATCTGGAGCTAGGGTACCTGGTACAACCCAGAATCCCTCCTTATGTTCTAGAACCGTTCCTTCCTGCCTGTTCCCTTCTATTGTTCCCCTATATTTTTCCATGGGTCTCCGAAAGAAGACTGTGCCATGTTGCACAGGGCTTCGCAGATTATTAGCAGAACTAATGTGGTAACCCTAAACCCTCCAATTAGGACCGTTGCTGAAAAATCTTGACTCACGTTACCACTTGACAGGGATTAATTTTCCTGACGACTGGCACCTTATCACTCCAGACCCCTCGCGTAATGGTAATCAAGAAGGACCAGAATTGAGCACGCGAGGCCTTAGGCATGAACCGTCAGGTATAATACCCTGCAACACTGCTTTTAGCTGGTCTCCCATGCACTGAAGAAAGTGTTACGGATGAACTAGCTGATCAACTTTCTTTTTTGAAAACAAAGTGATCAATGAGTAAGCAGCTTGTCACCACTTGTGTGTTATGGGCCGTGCAATTGACCCTGTGTGATGCATCGACATTTCCGCAGGGTATTCCCGAATAAGTTTCGGGGTGAAGCCACTGTGAATATTGAACCTGCCAGCTCAGGAATTTCAAAACAACTCCTGT